ATAATTGGCAGTCTGGCTGGCTAACTGTCATCTACCAGCAAGCCAGCCCCTACCATAGTCCCATCTGAGGGAAACTTATTAGTTTCCTTTTTGGTAAAATTCTCTGCCTTCCTTCCCTCTTCTCACTCTATTGTATGTATCTAGGCCACTGCATCTCAAGCAACAATACATAAACTATTTTAAGAAATCACATTTCTGTTTTTCTATTATTGTTTGCTTCTTGCTCATTCACCTTGAAATCTGTTACTCATCGGCAAAGAAGTTGTAGCGAGTGCCAAAGTTTTCCCACCCTGGAGAACTCCCTCTCTTTCTTCTCCTCCCCCCTCCTCTTCAGAGATTCAATGCAAGCCCCTCTCTTCTATGAAGCCTTCTCAGAATCAACTGAAAAGATGGAAATTTCCTTGGAAATGTAATTGCCTGAAGGTAAAAAAGTAAAGAAAAAAGCTAACCATCTGAGAGGAAGCCTGAGGGAAGAGATATGATGGCAACTATCAGCTATGAAATTTCTCTTTTCTTTGAAAGCAAACTTCTGTAGGGGGAGATAGATGCATCTAGCTGCTAAGCACACAGTAGGTATTCCATTAGTCCTGGTTGATCGATGCCACCTGGGGTGGTTCTTAAATGTTCACAAATTCTTTGCCACTCTTCCCTTCAAAAGGTAGAGCCTAGGGGCACCTGGGTGGCTCAGTCAGTTAAGTGTCTGACTCTAGATCTCAGCTCAGGTCTTGATCTCAGCGTAGTGAGTTCAAACCCCGTGTTGGGCTCCACATTGGGCATGGAGCCTACTTAAAAAAAAAAAAAAGATTAAAAAAATTTAAATGTAAAAAAAGAGCCTAATTCTCCCTTCCTTAAATGTGGGCTGTATCAGTGAATCACTTCCAATGAATAGAATGTAGTGGAGTGATAATGTACGACTCCTGAAGTTAAGTCAGAAAAATTATTGCAGCTTTCCCCCGCTTTCTCTTGGATGATTCACTTCTAGGGGAAGCCAGAAACTGAGGCCTCCTGCCAACAGCCAGCATCAACCTGCCAGCCAAATAAATGAGCCATCTTGAAAGTGGATCCTCCAGCCCCAGTCAAGCGTTTGGATAACTGCAGCCCCGGGCAAAAGTTTGACAACAACCATAGCTTGACCGAATCAGCACCGCCCAGCTAAGATGCTTCTGGATTCCTGTGAGAGCCAACAAATGCTTACTGATCTTTTAAATTGCTAAGAGGAAGAGAGCTGAAGGGACATTGCAGGAGGAAAAGGTTTCTGCTTCCTGGTTCTAGTGTGTGTAATTGGCAAGCTCCTGCAGAGTAAGCACCTTCACCAGTGCCCAGTGCCTGGAGCGACCAGCAGCACCAGCAGCTAGCAGCTTCTCCTGGCACTGCCCACCTTGGGCAGTCATGTAAGCAGAGTGCCTCCACCTCCTGCAGCGTTTGCAGCTTCTCCAGCACCCAGCACCTGCTGTGTACTTGGCGTCTCCGGCATGAGGCTCCTGCAGCACTCACAAGGTCTTGAGCACCAGGCTTCTGCAGTACATAGAGGCCAGCAGCGCCCAGTGGGGAGCAGCTTCCTGTGTACCCTACTCAGGCAGTTTTCTAGACTTTTTAAAAAAAGATTTTTTAATTTATTCATTTCAGAGGGAGAGAGAAAGCATGTGCGTGTGAGCCAGAGAGCGTGAGCAGGGGGAGGGGTGGAGGGAGAGGGAGAAGCAGACTCCCCCCTGAGCAGGGAGCCCGATGTGGGGCTCGATCCCAGGTCTCTGAGATCATGACCCGAGCCGAAGGCAGACGCCCAACCATCTGAGCCACCCAGGAGCCCAGTTTTCTAGCCTTTGATTTGGCACCTCCTTGTGAAGAAGTCCCTGGCATCCTAGAGGCCAGATTTCTGGCAAGTTCCACTCTCATGAGAGTACAGCAACTTTTCTGCCATCTGGTGAGCCATGGGCTATGTTCTCAACAAGGTCTGGATTTCAGCTTTAGTGGGGGTGAGGGGTGTCTCTCCCTTGGGTGCCCTATCCTAAGCCTCAGCCCTGGGGGGTAGGGGCTGCTCTGACATCTACTATTCATGTATTCTTTACTCTTTACTAACCAAGTTTTTTGTTACTCTAATCCCCTGTTGTCATAAATAATTATATTAAAATTTCCCTAATCAAATCACTGTTCAAATCACTGTGTGGTTTCTTTCTCTTGATTGGACCTAGAGTGACACGCTAAATTTGGTCATAGTTTGTTATACAGCAACAAATAACCAAACCACCCCTCCCCATCTCATTGCCCACTGCCAACTCCCCTTTCATTACCATCAGCCAATTTTTACCATGTGCCTATGCAGAGCAGGTTCTTCCCTCAAGGCTTTTATAAGGAGTCAGATATGACCTACTACAAAAAGAACAAAGTTTATAAGATCAAAGATTTAATTTTGATCTAAATGAAAGGTTCAAATATGAAGTGCTGCAGGAAGCAGCAAAGGCCAGTTGAAGGCGGCTCCAGGCTGCAGTAGGACGTAATTCAACTCTGATGACACTATAGGACACAGCCCAGTGGAAAAGAGAGAAGGGCACTGTAGCCAGGGGGAGCACTGTATCAAAAGCTTAGAGGCAAGACCACACGTGGTAGGATCAGGTCAGCAGGGACTACTAGCTCACTCCAGTTTGGCTGGAGAAGGGATTTTATATGGTAGGCTAGTGGCAAGCAATATGACCAGATCCTGAAGGGCCTTAAATACAAAGCTAATTCATCTGGTGCTATCATGTTAAAAAAGGGGGCCAGTGACCATGTCTTTGAAGCTAAAACTCAACCTACTTTTGTTGTAAGTACAATTATACTTGTCAGATCGTGAGACTTAGCTTTGGGGCTGAGAAGAAGTTCACCATGACAGTAGGAAACCCCTGAATGTTTTTGAGAATGATGCAATGTGGGGTTCTGAGATTAGCCTGGAATGTGTTGGGCTGGAGAAAATGGAGAACAGAAGTAGAAAATGATACCCAAAAGTCCTGATGTAGGGAATAGGGTAGCAGCAGTGGAAAGTGAAGAACTTGGAGAGATGTGGGATGTTCGGAATGGCTGGTTGGATGTGGTGAGTTGAAGGTGATGCCCAATGCTTAGCTGGTGACATGGGAACACAGGGAGCTGAATGAGGGGTAGATAGGATGATGTTGGCTTTTAACAAGTTCCATTGGGGTGACTGCAGTGTATCCAAGAAGCAGGAAGGAACAGCCTCAGGCCTGAACTCAGGAGAGAGACAAGGGCTGATGATTCAGATCTGGTAGTGATGTCTTCTCAGGGTGACAAGTCAGACTTTGGGAGATGGTGATGAGGCTGGCTCTCTGTTCAGCCTATCCTCATCAACAACCCTCCCCCGACCCACCCAAGGGATGAAGTCCTGGGTCAGGAATTCAGTGGGGACAAATATCCTCAAGTAGTTCAGTCCTAAATGGACTCCTAAAAGCCAGAAGCACTGTCTTTCTCGCCTACCACAGATTCTGGCTTAGAATCTATGGTCCACTCCCATGGGCCTCAGGCCAAAGAATAGGAAAGCAAAAAGCCCAAGACTAGGGGGTTCTAACCCTATTTCAGCCCCAGACCAATCATGTTACCTTGAGCAAGTCACTTTCCCTCTTTGGGTTTGTTTTTTCCTTCAGCAAAATGCCAGGGTTGGCCTTGGACTAGACCGTGGTTTTTAAATCCTGCCCCTGAAGAACAACAGGGTTCCATAGCTGGGCCAACATGTTCTTCCTCCTGAATCAAGTAGTAGCAGATGGAGCAGCTCCAATTTTAGGGTTTTCTCCATAAGGTTTTCTTAACCCAGTAGCAACCACTACTGCTTGTTTTCAAGCAAGGGCTCACAGATAACACAGCGAATGAACAAGCGGGAAATGCAATGAAAATAGGTGAAACCGGGAAAATCTGAAAATAGGGGACCATATTTTGTTTGACAGTCTTCTTGTTTCTGGAGACTTCATGGTTATGGTTTTATATTACTCACATAGTCACTCTGGTTTCTAAAGCTAAGTTCCAGTGGCATTTCAGGGTGCTTTCATAGAGCGTTCTGGGACTCCCCAGTGCCTGTAACCCAAAGAGACTGGAGAAACATCAGACTTGGTGCTCTAAGGACCTTTCCAGTGTTAATCTTTCACTCTCTCAGTCTTTGATCTTTGCACGCAGAACACTGCACCTTACATTCATTAATTCCTATAATCCCCATATAATCCTCCCAACAGCCTCATGACATATGTACTATTATTATATTCATTTTACAGGTGAAGGGAGCACTGAGGGCCAAATAGGGTTAATGGCTTGCCCAAGGTCACACAGCTAGTGACAGAGCTGGGATTTGAACCTGAGAGTCTTATTCCAAAGCTCTCTCTTCCAGTATGCCTGCAGTCTCTGTCATTAATGCTGTCACCAAATACTTTCAGCTCTTCCTTGGACACATGGTAAGACTGATCTTCCCTACCCCCTTTGGCTAGTGAAATGTGAGCAGAAGTAGTGAGCATCATTTCTGGTGTAACTTTTAAGAGCCAGGGATCACTGCCACATTCCCTGTTCCTTCTCTAGGAGTTGAGGATACACAATAAGAGCCACTCTCAGCCTTGGGCACTGAGAGAAGACGATTTGGAAAAGACACCTGTCCCCCCACCCCCAGCTGACCTGCTAGGGGCTATGATAAAGAAATAACCTTGTCATTTTTTACCACTAAGATTTGGAGGTTGTTTGTTACTGTGGCACAGCCTAGCCCATCCTAAGGAATCCAATGCAATACCATGTCCTGTTGATTATCTTTGGTCTCAGTTCCCCCAAACATGCCTTCTCTCTGAAACTCCCTGAGAGCATTGGTTCCACATTCAAATTTGAAAAATAGCAAGAGGAGAAGGCAATCTGTCCCCAAAACAGGGAAGTGGGGATGTGTTTTGGGAGATATGCCCATGCTTCACCATGCTCTGGGTAGGGATTATGCTGGATGAAATCTACACCCAGCCCCTGGAAGGCCCTAGACAGAAACTTCATCAAGCTTTTCTCCCATAGTCATTTATGGGCTCTCCTTAATTTTATTCCCCGCTATTAAAGTAGGAATGACTGGGCCGGCAGGAGGAGGGCCGGACTCCCACATCCTGGGAGCACTGCAGGCTGACTATGACCCTGCAGGCCTGGATCTGAACCTCCTCCTCAGGGTGGATGACCAGGGCGAGCAGCCGGTCTGCCAGTCGGGACTCATCCCCAAAGAGAGCTTCATGAAGAGATTGTTCATTGTAATGCCACTTCACGGCACGGTAGTGGGGTGAATTCTGGCCCTCACTTAGCCGCTCAGCAAACACCAGTACCTCGAACAGCAGACTCCCTGGCTGGGTGGACTGAAACAGGTTCAGGAAGTTGGAGTGCACCTGTGAGGGGAGTAGAGCGACAATGGCAAAGAAATCCAAGACATGTTCTGAGGTTCTTCTTCTTCCATCTTCCTATTGCTGCAACTCCCCAGTACACCCAAGTTTCAGATTCAACTGTATAGGAATTTTTTAGTTTTCCTTTCATTATCATTCTCTAACATAATTGCACTGTGGTCATAAAACATGAGAGATAGGATCATAATATTGATTCTGGGAAATTGGTTGAGTCAAACATTAAAGCTTAGCATGTGGCTGATTTTTAGAAATATTTTGTGTGCTTGAGAGGAATATACACTTAACTAATTGTAAAATGTTCTAGGTGTGTCTAATGGCTCAGGCTTATTTATATTATTCCCAGTAAATATACCCTTACTTGTTTTAGGTTTTTATCTATTAATTGCTGAAAAAATACATCTCCCAAATCTTCCGTTGTGATGGTGGATGTGACAATTTTTCCTTATAATTATTCAGCCATGAGAAAGAAGGAAATCCTGTCATTTGTGACAATATGGATGAACTTTGAGGACATTATGATAAGTGAGATAAGCCAGACAGAGAAAGGCAAATCCTGCATGGTATCACTTATTGGTGGAATCCAAAAAAAAAAAAAAAAAAAGTCACACTCGGAAACAGAGTAGGAAAGTGGTTGCTAGGGGCTGGTGGTGTAGAAGAAATAGGAAGACTTTGGTACAAGGGTATAAACTTTTAGCTATAAATTGAATAAGGTCTGGGGGTGCCTGGGTGGCTCAGTCGGTTGAGCGTCCGACTCTTGATTTTGGTTCAGGTCATGATCTCAGTGTCCTGAGATCGAGTCCTGTGTTGGGAGCCACACTGGCTGTGGAGCCTGCTTGAGATTCTCTCTCTCCCTCTACTCCTCCCCCTGCCACTTGTGCTCTCTCTCTCTTAAAAAAAAAAAAAAAAGATGAATAAAGTCTGAAGATCTAATGTAAAACATAGTGATTAAAGTTAATAACACTGTATTAGATAATTGAAATTTGCTGAGAGTAGAAACGTAAATATTCTCACACACAAAAAGATAAATACGTGAAGTGATAGATGTGTTAATCAACTAGATGGTGAGAATCCTTTCACAATGTATATATATATATCAAATCACCACTATGTACATTTTAAATATTTTACAATTCTATCTCTTCATTATACCTCACTAAAACTGAAAAAAAAGAAAAAAAATTTCCTTGTCATTCTATCAAGTTTTGCCATATAAATTTTGAGGTTATGTTATTAGGTTCATAGAAGTTTAGAGGTCCTTTATCCTTCTGAACTGTTATTATGTAGTGACCCTGTCTATTCCTAATAATGGTTTTTGTTATAAGTAATTTTTCTCTAATATGAAAATACCTACATTTACTTTTGTTTTATCACCTGGATTCGTGGCTCTCAGAGTTCAGAAAGCCCCTTAAAGGAGAATCCCCCTCTCAACAAAATTAATTCTCATTCTATTGGGAGAATTGAAGAGGGGATAGTTTTCAATATATCTAGTACAAAGGCAGGAAGAGAAACAAGACGATCTTGTTAGGACTAAGTCTGCCTGGAGAATCCATGATTCTTCCTTCCTCAGTATCTGAGTTGGTATCCATTAATCCTCCTTCAGTTCCTTTCTCACCTGGCAGTTGAGAATATCATACAGAAGGTCGTTCTTCTGTGCTAGGTAGCTCAGCAATCGTATGGCTTGCACCTGAATAAAAGAACGAGTAAAGTATGAGAAGGCAGGTAAATGTGGGCCTGAGCAGGGAAGGCACAAATCTCTGCTCCTCCCTCTAGGTGCTGTGCCAGGGCTGGTAGGAGGGGCAGGGCCTGGGCCATGGTCCTTAGGCACCTGTGCCAGGATATATTCTGACTGCAGGATCTCCATCAAGGCAGGCATCACCCGTCGCAGCTGTGGATGTACATAGTCAGGCAGTGGGAGGCTGTTGAGGAGTCTGAGGCCGGCAACATGCAGCTCCGAATCCCAGATGGTGGAGATCAGTTCCAGTACCTTGACGGTGTGTTCCTGGGGGTTTGAGGGGGTAGGGAGATAAGGGTCTGCTTTTATGTGGTGATCCCCAACACTATCCCAGCCTCTGAGTTCACTCTTCCCTCCCCCTACCTATGATGCCCAAGCCCAAACCCAGTAGACAACTCCCTTTAACTTACACTCTCAACATTACTTGATCTAGTTGGCCACACCTGCCTCCTTTCTGCACCTGGCTTCTCTTCCACAGACTTCTTTCCTGGTTCTTCTGCCCAACCTTTTCTTCTCTATCTTCCTCACTCTCTTAGTGATATTATCCAGACTCAGTGTTAAACACTGTTGATGCTGAGGCCTTTCAAATTTCTGTCCCTAGCCCAGACCTCTATGGGAAAACTCCAGACTCATATATTCCAGTGCCAATTCCACTTCTTCCCATAATGCTTTTTTTTTTTAATAAAGATTTTATTTATTTATTTGACAGAGAGATAGAAGAGCACAAGCAGAGGGAGTGGCAAAGGGAGAGGGAGAAGCAGGCTCTGCACTGAGCAGGGAACCCGATGCGGGACTCGATCCCAGGACCCTGAGATCATGACCTGAGCCGAAGGCAGATGCTTAACCATCTGAGCCACCCAGGCGCCCACTTTTTTCTTTTTTTTAAGATGTTATATTTATGTAATCTCTATACTCAACGTGGGGCTCAAACACACAACTCCGAGATCAAGAGTTGCATGCTCCACTAACTGAACCAGCCAGGCGCCCCTTCCCAGAATGCTTGCTAGACCTCTCAGAGTTAACACATACCCAGCCCCCAAACCTGTGTCTCTCACCACCTTCCCTGTCTCTGCTTTTGGTCACACCTCCCTTCTCACTACTCAGGTCAAAAATCTGTGGTCCTCTTTAACTATTTTGTTTCTCCTCACACTGCTTTTCTAGTCCTTCAGAAAATCCCGTTGGCTCTACCTTCAAAATCTGTCAACAGTCAAGCTGTTCCTACCACCCCGTTCCAAGCCACCATCAGTTCTCACCTGGACTTCTTCAATAGCCTCCTGTCTCCCTGCTTCCATCCTCCCCTCTGCATCCATTTTCAGAACAGCAGACATGTTAGACATGTCACTCTTCTGCTCAAGTCCCTAGCTCATCCAGGGTAAGAGCTAAAGTCCTTACAGTGGCTTACAAGGTCCAGTCTGCTCTGCCGCTCTCCCCTCACAATTTCTTTGACCTTATCTCCTATTCTCTTTTTTGCTCCCACGGTTGACATCACAATGGTCTCTTAGTCATTCTTTGAGCATGCCAAGTACACACTTATCTTGTTTTTGCACAGCCTGTTTTCTCTACTTAGAATGCTCTCCCTCCAGATAGTCATAGCTCACTCTCTTACCTCCTTCAAGACTTTGCTTTAATGTCACCTTCCCAGTAAGGTCTTCCCAACCACTCCCTTTTTTAAGATGGCAACCACTCCCCACCCAGCCTTCCTTATTCTCTATCTTTATTTCATTCTTCTCCACAGCACTGTCACAGGCAACTCACTTTTTATTTTGAAACTTTTTATTTTCGAATAATTATAAGTTCTCAGGAAGTTGCAAAAATAGCCCAGAGACATCCTGTGGGCGCTTCACCCAGATTCCCTCAATGGTTAACCTTATGTTATTATATACAGTATCAACACTAGGAAATTAGTATTGGTACAGGGTGTGTGCACAGTCTCTGTCATTTTGTCACATATGTGGATTCATGTAACCATCACTGCTATCAACAGATTATTCCATCAGAGTTGTCCCCTCACCACAGAGATCTCCCTCACGGGACTCCATTATAGTCACATCCCCCCCCCCCCCCACCAAAACCAGCCCTCACAATTGGTAACCACTCATCTGTTTTCCATCTCTGTATTTTTGTCCCTTTGAGAATGTTACATGTTGAGTCCTACTTTGTGACCTTCTGAGATTGGTTTTTCACTCAGTAGAATGCCCTTGAGATCCAAGTTGTTGTATCAATAGTTCATTCCCCTTTATTTCTGAGGGTTCCATGGTATGGATTAGCACAGTTTAACCATTTATCTATTGAGAGACATTTTGGTTGTTTCCAGTTTTTGACTAGTACAAGTGAAATGGCTACAAACAATTGCATACAGGCTTTTGTGCAGATATGTTTTCATTTCTCTAGGATAAATGCTTCAGAGTGCAACTGTTGAGTTGTATGATAAATGTATCTTTCATTTTTTATTTTTTTTAAGTAGGCTCCATGCCCAGCATGGAGCCCAATGCAGGGGCCTGAACTCATGACCCTAAGATCAAGACCAGAACTGAGATCAAGAGTTGGATGCTCAACTGACTGAGCCACCCAGGCACCCTGATAGTTCATTTTTTAAAGAAACGGCCAAACTATTTTCTGGAGTGGGTGCTGTACCATTTTATATTCCCACCAGCAACATACGAGAGAGCCCATTTCTATCTTCACCAGCATTTGGTATTGTCACAAATTTTGAGTTTGGACTACTTAATAGGAGTATAGTGCTGTCTCATTGTGGTGGTAATTTGCATTTCCCTAATCCCTACTGATGTTAAACATCTTTTCATGGGCTTATCTGCAACTCTTAGATCTTCTTCAATGCTGTATCTCTATGTCTTTTGCCCATTTTCTAATTGGATTTTTAAAAATATGGAGTCTTGAGAGCTCTTTATATGACCTAGATAGGAGTCCTTTGTCACATATGTGCTTTGCAAATGTTTTCTCCCTGTCTGCAGCTTGTCTTTTCATCCTCTTAAGAGGTTCCTCCACGAGGCATGTCTTTAGTTTTGATGAAGTCCAATGTATCCATTTTTTCTCTTACAGATCATGCTTTTGGTGTTATTTCTAAGAACTCTTCATCAAGCTCTAAGTCCCAAAGATTTTCTCTTTTGAAACTGTACCACCACCCCCATACCAGCTTCCTTATGGTCCTACTTTATTTTTCTCTAGAGTTAGTCTGGGTGGTGTTTCAGGCAGAGGGAACAGCAGGTGCAAGGGCCGGGGAGTGGGAGAGCATGAAACATACAGTGTGAATGGCTAGGGCTGGGGCAAGGAGGTGGAGGATCATGCACTTTATGCTGAGAGCCCTGAGGAATACCAAGCAAGGGGTTGATGGGATCAGATCCCTTTGGACAGAGTGGTCTGACTTAGAGAATGGGGGCAAGGTAGGTCCATTTTGGACATGCTGGGCTAGAGGGCCCCTAGGATATCTAAGTGGGGCAACTGGCCCTGGGGTTGGGGGAGTTCCCAGGCTATGGACAGAGATGCAGGAAAGCACATCTAGATGAAAACTGAGGCCAGTGAGTGGCTGCTTTTACCCAGAGAGAGAACAGGGATCAGGTCCCCAGGACACCCTGGGGAAAGTATTGCCCAGGCCAGCTGCATCAGAGTCTCCTGGGAGGCTTGTGAAAAACATAGCTCCCCTGCTGAACTAGACTCTCTAGGTGTGGGGCCCTGGAATCTTCATTTTTAACCAGCTCTGTGGGCAATTCTGATATGTTTGAGATTTACAGACTTATGGAAACTCAGAGACTTAAGGGATAAAGTAGAGGTGGCCAGCAAGTGGAGACCTAGAGACCTTTTTTTCCCAAAAAAAGTTTTTTTTTTCCTTTCTATTTTTAAGTAGGCTTCACACTCAACATGGGGCTTGAAGTCATGACCCCGAGATCAAGAGTCACATGCTCTACTGACTGAGCCAGCCAGGTGCCCCTCTCCAAAAAAGCTTGATGCAAAAAATCAAAGTGTGAAAATACCAAGCTTGGGGGAGGAAATATAATGCAACGGGAACACTCATGCAGAGCCGGTAGAGCTTGTAAATTGATACAATCCTTCTTGAGAAGTTGGGCATACATTTTCACCCAGCCATTCTACTCCTGCATACAGATCCTAGAGAGTCTCTTATATCCTCAACGGAGATGTGTACAAGAACACTCATGGCACAATGTGGAAACAATTTCAGGGCCTACCCATGGGCAAATGGATAAATAAAATTGCAGGATATTCATGAAGTAGAATACTATACAGCGGTGGAAAATAAGGAAACAGAGCTATCCACACCAATAAAGGTGAATCTTTCAATGTTGGGGGGAAAAGGCAAACCACAGAATACAAACTGCGTACTTCCAGATATATGGAGCTTAAAAACATCCCAAATTACATTTTGCCCATTCATTTATTATCTGCCTTGGCTTGCTGGAATATGATACCTGAATATATGGCAAAACTATACAGAAAATCAAGGAATTGATGCACAACATGCAGGAAATAATTGCCTCTGTTTGGGGGAGAGTTTGGGATTGGGGAGGGGCATCGGGAACATCCAACCTGTTGATCACGTTCTATTTCTCAGCCATGCATTTTTTTTTAAAGATTTTATTTATTTATTTGACAGAGAGAGAGAGAATGAGCACAAGCAGGGGGAGTGGCAGGCAGAGGCAGAGAGAGAAGCAGGCTCCCCACAGAGAAGGGGGAGCCCGATGTGGGGCTCGATCCCAGGACTCCGGGATCATGTCCTGAGCCGAAGGCAGTCGCTTAACCAACTGAGCCACCCAGGCGCCCCTCTCAGCCATGCATTTTGTTTTATAGTTCTTTCCACTGTACACATATAAAATGTAAGTTTTCAATATTTTACTTACTTTTAATTCAGGAGAGACCATTTGCTAGAGAGAAATTTGGAAGTCAAGGAAGGAAGGGGGGTTCTTTTTTAAGATTGGAAGGATTAGAGCATGTTGAATACTAATGGGAAGGAGTGGGGGGAAGTCCATATCAGACAAAGAGGCTAATTAAGGAGAGAGGCTATTAAAGGGGATGGGATCCAGGACTGAGACTAACGTTGACCCTAGACAGGAAGAAAGCCATTTTTCCATAGCATTAGCAGGAAAGGATGGGTGTGGAAACGGGTAAGCCTGGGAACATTTCGTGGCTTATATTTTCTCTACATGGTGGTAATGAAGGCATCAGTGGCCCAGCCACCAAGTATCAGACCAACACAGCACGGGGTGTGGTATATCTGATCCTTGTCCCTGGTTCTAGGCACAGAGCTCCTAAAATCCATGCATTTGTGGGGTGCCTGGGTGGCATAGTCGTTTGGGCATCCAACTCGGTTTCGGCTCAGGTCCCATCTCAGGATTTTAGGAGCTCAGCACAAGAGTCCGCTTGAGATTTTCTGCCTCTCCTTCCCACTGCCCCTCCCTGTGTGCTGTCTCTCTCTAAAATAAAATCTTTTTTTAAAAATCCTTGCAATTGCCTGATAGAAGGGCCCTTTGTTATTCATAATAAGCTCCTCTCAGTTACCCCAGAGCTTATGCTGATTAGGTGACTCTTGGTGGATGGTAGACAGCTTCCGGATGGGGGCGCTAATGGCCAGAAAGGTCAAGCCATGATTAGAGGGTTGAAGAAGGAAGGGAGGGGTTAGAGATTGAGTTCACTCACCAATGGCCAATGATTAATCAATCACGCCTACATAATGAAACCTCCATAAATACCCCTAAACGACAGGGCTCAGCAAACTTCTGGGTTGGTGAACACATCAAGGTGCTAACAGGGTGGCTTGTCTAGAGAAGGCCCAGAAGCTTTGCACCCTTCCCCCATACTTTGCCCTACATGACTCTTCCATTTGACTGCTCCTCAGTTGTGTATTTCATAATAAACTGGTAAATGTAAGTAAAGTGTTTTCTTGAGTTCTGTGAATCATTCTAGTGAATTACCAAACCAGAGGAGGAAGTCCAAATTTATAGCCAAATGTACTGGCACTTGTGACTGGCATGGGAAGTGGAGGGGGGGGGTGTCTTGTGGGGCTGTCCTTTGTCCTTTACCTGTGGGACCTGCACTAACCCTAGGTAGACAGTGTCAGAATTGAGTTGAACTGTAGGACACCCCCATTGGTGATGTAGAATTAGTTGATATCAGAAAGAACCTCAGTGCTTTCTGCTGTTTGGGGCTCAGAGATACTCCTAGCACCCCAGTTCAGTTTCAGCCTGAGATTCAAAGATTTGTGACCCTTGAGGAGGGTCTCACTTAATTACAAGGAAAAGCATTATTTCTGGATTACAAACACAGACCCAAACAACTTCTGGAACATGACCATTTATCCTATGCCCATTAAAGAACCCATGGACTACAGACATCCTGTGCGCTCTACCCCACCACTTGCCTCTGCACTCACCTGGATTTTAAGCCTGAATTTTCTGATGCCAGAGAAAGCTTTAAGTGTGTTCAGAGCTTGGATTTTGACACTGTTGTCCTTGTCATCCAGCATGGAGCCCACCAAGCTGATGTCATCAGTAGTACAAGAAGAGGCCTAGAGTGGGCCAGGAGAGACGCAAGAGGCAGGAGAAGCGGGTGTCCTGGACCCACTGCCCCCCGTATCACCAAGACCCCTCAGCACCAGCCCTCCCGCCATCAGCCAGAGAAACAGGTCCCAGGACAGGGTCTGGCCAGCCAAGGGGGTAAGGATCAGGCGTAGCCCCCAGGGATTGGGCTGGCTGGGAGGGACCTCCGGCTGTCTCCCGCTCACCTCAGCCTCCAGCAAGTACACACAGCGCGTGATACTGTGCAGGATCATGCTCTTGGCGTACTCATCCTGTTTATGCTCCAAAGAGTTGAGGAGCCTCCGGAGCTCACCCGAGTCCCGCCCGTGCCGCTCTCGCTCGACTGCCAGGCCTAGACAGCCACCCCAGCCCAGTTCAGGCTGTGGACTCAGAAGTGATCAGAGAATGGGGTCGGGAAGTTGGGGAGAGGGACCTGGGGACAAGGCTGCCTTGCCTTTTCTGAAGGGGCCTTCTTGCTCTAGGCAGGACCACCAAGTACAGCTGAGCCGTGAGTGTGGCAGGAAGGGTGCTATGTCTAATGAGGTATCATTCAGATCGTAAGTGTCCTAGTTTGGGATATTTACTATAACAATTTTCTGGCCTACGGCAGTCATGTGTCCTATCTCATCATAATCAGTACATGGCAGTGATATCCCAACAGACGGCAATAACTCATCTTGCAGAAGGGTGCCTTTTTCTACTTTGCACAAAGTTGTCGTGTGGACTAGTGGAGGCTCTGGGCATGCAGGTGGCCCAATGTTCCCTTAGGGAGAACTGCTAATGCCAAGCCTCCGAGCAGGGGCATCCTGGGAGCTAGAGTGAAGGCAGAATCTGGAGACCTGCCAAATGAGTCCTGAGGATCCACTCGAGTGCCAGCTACTCCCTGGGGACTCTGAGCTAGCATCTCTATGGTGGGTTGAGGCAGATGGAGAAGAGGAAGGAAGGACAGAGGAACTTGGAGGAGTCACCTTTGGGCCCTCCCACACTGGAGGCCTCGGGAGCAGGTGCCTCCTGGGGCAGAGCCCTCTCCCCAGGGCCCGTACACTCACGGGCGATGCAGATGGGTGAGGCAGTGTAGAGGGGCGGTTGGCATTTGATACCAGCCCTGATGGCCTTGTAGAGCAGGTAGATGAACCCAGCACCTGTGGCCAAGCCCACTACACCTTTTCGGATGTCCATTTGCCCCAGGTACTGGGGGATGCTCATACCCATGTCTTCAGTGTGGCCTTGCGCCCGGGTGGGAGCTAGGCCCAAGGCACCTGGCAAGGGCCTTCTGGAACCAGAACTCTGGCAGGGCCAGGAACCAGGATACCAGAATCAGAACCTGGGCAACAAAGGAAACTAGGGAAACGGGATAGAGGGTGGTGATCAGGAAACGGGGCAGCCAGGAGTGCTGGGAAGGGGAGAAGAAGGTTCAGCTTCACAGGCTGTCGGAAATGAAGCTCAAGACTATGGGAATAAAAAGTCTGGAGGGGGGGACAGGAAGGTCCTCGCATCCCCTTTTCCTTAGGGAAGCCGGGTTGGTTGGGCCCCAGCAGGCAGCTCTAGAGGCTGATTTCCTCCATTAGAGGGCAGCAGAGGCCCGATTTCTGGGCTGGTTCCTTTGGAAGTTTCTGGGAGGGGTGTTCGGGATGTGCCCATTGGCAATACCATTCTCTCACTCTCTGGCCTCCCATTTTTGATTTCTTCACCACAGATTCACTGCTGGGCCTCAGGATGTTTCTGCAGGCAGGACCCCCGTCCATCAAGGGGAGCACTTTATGAAGTTTTGCAGTCCTCAGGCAAACCCATCACCTTCCAGAAACTGTAGTTCCCCTGTAGTGGGTAGGATCTACCTGTCTGGCCAGAAGCTCTTGAGGGCAGCTCTCTCTGCATCTCCAACATCCAGTAGAGTCTTGCACTTAGTAGGTGCTCAAATCATGACTTCTGTCATTCTTTGAGGACTTGAGAAATCTGGTTACGGGGGCTCCAGGCCCATTTAACCAGTGTGACCCTGGAGGAGCGACTGCCCTTGCTGGGTCACAATCTGTGACTGTTTGCAACCTGGGGGTATCCACATTTACCATTCTATAACTCCAGGATTACAATTTGGGTAGATGTATGCCTTTACATGATGGGGGCCTAAATCTGGGAGTACCACAGTCCAGTGCCCCGCACCCCAGTGCTCGGCACCCCACCCCACGCCATCCCTACAGGATGAGATGAGGTCTGAAGGCCTCCTGTGCAGTCAGAAAATGCCACCATCCCAGAAACATGAGAGTCCACCTTTGGAGGACTTGGTCTCCCCCAATAGGATGGGGCAGGTGAGAGCAGACCCTTCTCTCTTTCTCTCCTTCCCCACTTGTCCCCATACCTGTGGCCTCGCCTCCTCGTACAGAACAGGGAGGTGACAGGCCCTGAGCCAGGCTCAGGCCCAGAGCCAGCATGGAGCATCGTTGCACCAGAACAGGTCTTCACCTGCCTGGCTTTGAGCTCCTCTTGGAAGGTTCTAGGTCATGGGCTACACCTGGGCTTGAAGGAGGCGGGGAGATAGGGAAATAGCATCCTCAAGGCTGCCGCAGCCAGCCAGGCCTGACTGCTCAGAGCCTTCACCCATCACACCCCAGGCTGTAGGCAACACTCCCAGGTGGCTGTTCTTTTCCTTTCCTCTCCACTGTCCTCGGCCCTCCTCAAGCTCATTTGTAGCACTCAACCCAGCCCCAAGGTGGATGACTACATGGACTCTGCAAGGAGGGGTAACAGAGGCCCATGGATGCCCCATGAACTCCAGGCAGGAAATGGCTGCCTGATGGGACCGCTTTAGGTTCCAAGGCTACCCTAGTGGATCTGAGGACAGGTCCTTCAGAACAAGGTTCCCGCCCTTCCCTGGGGTAGGACCCATAGCTGCTGACCTCTCCAGTCCATGGACTTGATTCTGCAACCCTCTTTTCCTAAGCAAATGCAGTGCTCACCTGTTCTTTAAAAGCTTCCAAATGAGTGTTCCTTCTTGGCTTTAACCTAACTCCTTCCTGCTACACCTAAAGCCCACTTCTTTTGGTTCTGCTCTCAAATGATGCAGAGGGATGAAGAGGCCGAGGCCATCCCCAGAGTGATATTTCATTAGTCCACAGCACAATGTAAAAAACACAGAGGGAAGTCCATTTGTTGGTGTGAAGTCAATGACTGTCCCTTCTCGGGAATGACTGCTTTTGATTTAGATGAACTGGCGGGGGTCAGTTTCTTATTTTGAGAATTCAAATGCACTTGCTTTTATGAAATGATGGTGCTAATAGACGATAGTTGTGTTCTGAGTGTTCTTAGGGTGCATAAATTAAAGCTGCAACTTTGTAGGCACGTGGCTTTTGTTTTCTTGCTTTGTTTCGTCTGTCAAATCCAAAGATCTGGAATCACTGACTAGAGAGAAGTCTGAGATTCCATATACACACAGTCAGCCTCCAAGTTTCTTACCTGTTCTCACCAAGGCAAAAAGACCTGGGTTGTCCGAGCGCACACCCCTCTGTCAAGTGCACTGGCTTTCTACATTCAAAGCTGATATTCCCATCATGGTTTACTTTAGTGAAGGAGAGTGTGGGCTCTCGCCAGACTGCCGGGGTTCAAAACCAGTTCAGCCACTTAGCTTTGTGCTCTCTTTGCACTTGACTTTCCACACCTGTAAAATGGGAATAATAATGTCTGCCTCATGGGGTTGTTTGTGAAGATTAAGTACTTGAAACAGTACCCAGTATGCGGAGCCCATTAAATGTCAACTGTAATAATTATTACAAGCAGGTTTCACCTAGACAAAAATGTTGGGTGTGGGAAAACAGTGAGTACACAGATGGTGGGCCTCAGTGACATCCGAAAGACACATTATTCTTCTGGTCTACCCCTCCCACTCTGCTCTTCTTCAGACTAATCCCTCTCCACAACCCTAATCCACTTAATTGCCTCGAGCAACTCTGGAGCCCTCTTTGAAGCCCTCCCCCCCAAATACTTACCAGCCCGTTCCCCACCAATGAAACCTCAGACTCCCAGCTCTGGTAATGAGTGTTTCAGCCTAGTTAATTAGAAAAGCCTAATATGCTACTGGGGGCCTACCGTGCAAGACACAGTGCTAGACCATTATGGTGGGTGATTCTGGAGAGGGGCGGCGCTTGCATGCACAGGAGAAGCCAAGGGGAAATTAGCGTACTCTATAGTGAAAAGCTCACTGGAGTCCCTGTGAGCTTGGGTTTGGGCAAATTCCATAATCTGAGCCTCAGTTTCCTCCTCCGGAATACGGGTCTATTGACACCTACAGGAAGTGCGGCTGTCAGACTAAGGAAAGAACGTCTGTTGTGACTCTCGGTGAACGGGGGTGTGGGGGGGCAATCCATACCTGCGAGCTCCCCCTCCACCCCCGGTAAAAAGCCAGAAAGTAGAGAGGCGAAAGGCTGGGGGTGCCGCCCGTGCCCTGACATGGACCCCACACTCTCCGAGACCGTCCCCTCCCCAGCTGGCGCTTACCCCGGCCTAGGAATCAGATTCGGGGGCCTCTTGGCAGCTCGTTACTCCAGCGAAGGCGTGGGGACGGGGAGAAACGCGACGGAAGCACTGGGAGCGGCGCCCCCAGAAGAGGAGGGCCGGGTGGGGGGGCGGAGGCCGCGCCTTTCCCCGCCCCGGGCCTCCCCCACTCTTGCCCCCCCTCCCCGGACTACCTCCTCCCCAGGCGCGCATCCGGCGGCGGGCACAGGATGTTCTTTCGCTCCCGTCTCCGTCCCCCCCCCCCGCCCCCGCTCTCACTTTCCCTTCGCTCCCTTCCCCCACTCCCGCCGCGCCCGGCGCCGGCACCTTGTTTAACCCCTCCCCTGCCGCACTCCGCGGCTCCCCGGCGTCCCCTGGGCTCCCACCCTTCCCGCCTACCCCCCAAGACGCGGAGCGTGCCCTAGGGCTGCCCGGGAAGGGGCGGGCCTGGGCTCAGCGCCGGCCCGCGTTCTCGGGATCCATTGGCCCGGCGGGGGTGAAGTGGTGGAAGGAAATCCCAAAGGCTGAAGCCCGCATTCTCCGGACCCCCGCCAGTTCAGCGGCGCCGGGTGGGCTGGCCGCCCTCGAGCGAGCCACGCGCCTGCGGGAGGGGGGCGGCCATGTGGGCGTGGTTAGCTCCAGGCCCGGAGGCGGACGGTAGGGTCGAGGACCCCAATCTCATCCTCTCCCCAGGTCAGGGTAGGAAGGGGCCAGGGACTCCGGGAGAGGATGGAGAGAGGTCACGCCCCTCACGCACACGTCACTGTTTCCAAGGCAACCGAGGGCGGGGAAGCGGGCTGGAGAAGACCTTAGAGAAAGGAGGCTACCCGAGGCTTTGGGACCCGGGTGGGGGTGGGGAGGCGGCGGGGGCGGGCTTTTCAATCTGTTTCTCCACTCGCTGCTGCTGCAAGAAACTGAGGGGAGGACCGGTACTGCTCATTCAACAAACGCTCATTGAGCTTGAGCTCTGCTTGGCGCCCTGCTTAGGCGCTGGGCTACGGCGGCTGGGGATCCGAACCCTGCCCTCACCCGTCATTGTGCGTTAGAGTAGGATGGCCATTCGCTCCGGGTCACGTCTGTGGAACCGGTGTAATGATTACTAGTATCCTTTTTCACGCTTAGAAGTGTTCCAGTATGGGGGGGGGGACTAGTTAAGGAACTTTGTCCCCCAATACAGGAAAGGCTCCAACCATACAGGGAAGGAAGATAAGCCATTGTCTGATCACTATGCAACAGGCACTTTCTTGCCCCTTTGTAGTCTCTGTGTAGTCTTTGCACCTCGTTCTGCAAAGTAAGTATCACTAGCGACTTTTATAGATGAAGAAACTGGCTCAGAGAGGTTGAGAGACTTGCCCAAGGCCAAACAGCCAAGTATTGGAATCCAGATTCAGGTTTACATGGCCTCCAAAGTTGGAGTGTCCTACCTCATGCTTCCTTCTCAAAATAGATAGATTATATTAAATAAGCAAATGAGAGATTCTATCACTGCCGTGAAGGAGCTTATAATCTATGGGGTTGAAAATACTACAGGACATAAGTAAGCAACAGAATAGAGAAGAGATTGAAGGCAGCTCCTAAGGCTCAGAGGGAAGCTGACAAAATGATCAAAATTGCGTGGAAATTATCAGAGCCTTCCTGCAGGAGGTAGATTTTGAAGTGCTGGGGCCAGGATCACGGGGACTGTGTGTGTGTGCACGCGCATGTGCGCGCACGCACAATGCAGTGCCAAGAAAGAACAATCTAAGGGCATCAGACCAGGGACCAGAGCTATGCAGGCTGGACTCTCCAGTTGTGAAAAGATCCCTCTGTAAACCCGAAGTCACTGGTTGGGCCACTCACCTTTCGGCCTTCCCCCCTCCTCTGTGGGTTTCGTTTCTTAGGGAAGCTTCCAGCAGGGCAGCTGCACTCATTCCACTCTGCACTCAAAGTCTCTGCAGTTGGCATTTGGCACAGACTCCTTGACGTTGACTTGGCTGTCAGCTTCTCCCTTCCCCACCCCTCTCTGAAGATTTGGTAGATAAAAAATTGTGACTTTTCAAAACCAAAGGGCCTGAGCAAGTACCAGGAACCAACAGGTTCAATGGGAATGGGGAGACCGAGTCAGGAGAGAAAGATGAGAAAGCACAACCAAGTGGGTTGGTCACTTGACTAACATCTGCTGCCCTTCTGCTAGGTACCAGGCCCAGAGCTGGCCTCTGTGATTTGGGCACACCATGAATGAGTCCGGGTCCCTTCATGTGGAACACACAGCTGAGCAGCTGGTGTACCCAGTGTGCTTGGTTGAGGAACTTGAAGCTGAAAGCATACACAATAAACAGCGTTTGAGAAACATTAGTCCAGTAGGCTAGGCAGGAGAAAGGAAAAACGTAGGTCAGAAAGGTGTGGCAGAGGCTGTGGGAATTTGAGCCAAAGGTGGAACCTATGGGGATAGAGAAGAGGCGAATGAGAAAAATAAGGAACAATAAATACATCTTGTAATAAAAACAACAAAGGGAGGAATTTGGTAGATCAGGTATAGGATGGTGAAGGAGAGAAAATAGTTAAAAATTAACCCACCTTCGTGGTGAGTTTGGGGGATGGGAGAGTCATAGTGGGCAATGGGGAAGAGCTGGTGTGAGCCACATGAGGACGAGTTCAGTCACTTCCAGGTCATGTGAGGGCAGGTGTTCCATGGGTGACTGGACTTGGAGATAGGGAAGTCCAGAAGGGCAGTGGGCTGCCTTGTGAGAATGTCCCTGTCACCGTAGGTATGCAGAAAGCTTCAGAACAATGACTGACCTGGGATATCATGGACAGATTTCACACATTAGGTAGAAGGTTGGAGTTGATGACAGTTAAGTTACCTCCTGGCTGGGAGATTCGGTGAGCACTGGCTGGGTGAGCACGTATATGGGAAAAATGACTATCTGTGTGGGAAGGGGGTCCATGGCCCAGGCCTGCATCAGCATCCATCTCCTCAGAGGATGCCAGAGATGCCGTCAGATGGCCCAGGGGCATGAGGCCCAGGTGAGGCAGGTCAGCTGCCTGGGGTCCCTCCCCCAGCCCCACCCTCCACGGCCCTGGAGCCCAGGCCTGCGCTGGCTGCCAGGGCTTTCCTGGAACTCAGCAGAGGACGGAGCCCCTCCCTGCCAGCCCTTGGCACACTCCAGGCACAGCGTGTCCCCTGGGGCACCTAGCAGACACCCCAGGAGGCTAGGGTGTGGGACAGGTCTCCGCCTCCAGGAAGAGTCCTGCTCTGAGCTGCCATCTGAGCTCCCTGCCCTGGGCTGTCAGCCTCGAAGTGGCCCCACCAGGACAGCAGGCACAGAGGAGGAAGGAGAAATTTTGTGGCTGGGTGGCAGGATTCATGGGTCTTTGTTGTGGCTTTGGGTGGGAGGGTGGGTAAGGCAGAGAAGCAGGGTCTCAGGCTTCAAAGCACCTCCCCACCTGTTTCACCCTCCCTCTGAGGAAATCTTCAGGGGCCTAGTGGTTTTGAGGGGAGGGGAGGGGAGGGGACAGGAAGAGACTCTAAACTCTGGGTTAGCCAAGGACAGAGGTGGGGGAGATCTTCTTGCCCTATATCCCATTTCTCTCAGCATCCTCTTCCTGTGCTCCCCACCACCCTAGAACAAATTTCTACCCCCATCTGTGGCGATGAGTTACATCCCCCACACCAAGACCTCCAGAGGCCTCCCAGAGTGGTGGGCTTTGGGGGAAACGGGACTTGTACACAGAAGCTGCAGGCCGGGCCACACCTGCCCAGTGGCTGGAGGACAGCGCCCCTCCCGGGTGGGCCGGGCCTGCTCCGCTCGGGCTGGGGGCCGTGAGACGCTGGAAATGCAGGAGCGAGAAGGCAGAGGGATGCGCAAACGGGCCACGTGGAGGTCCCGCGCGGCAGGCAGGGGCGGGAACAGGGGAGCCGGTCGTGCGCCCGCCTTCCCCCCTCCCGTCCCCCGTCCCCGCCCCACCCCCCCCACCCCGCTCGAGGGAGCCTCCGAGAGTTGGGTCGTCGCTGACCGCAGGCTGCAAGAGCGGTTGATCTGGTGAGCGAGCACACCCACTTACCCAGCTGCTGAGTCAGGCTGTTCTCGCTCCCCGCTCGCCCGCCCGCTCGGGACATTGTGTTCCAGCCCCGGCGCGCTGGCACCGGGCCCAGGCGCTCACACCAGCCTCCTCGCCCTGTTTGTGCTCGCGGCTTGCGCTCGGCGCGCAGCCTCCCCGCCGCCGCAGCCCTGCGAGTGCGCGCTGGGGCCGGACTAGGGGCGGCCGGGGGCCGGTGCGGAGCCCCGGAGACGCGCGCCCGGCCGGCGGGGGGAGGGGGGCGCCGCCCAGCCCGGGCTCCAGCCTTACAGCCCTCAGACCTCTCCATCCCCCACCTGCACCCCGCTGTGGAAGCCCAAGCGTGTGCGAGGCCCGAACACCACAGCTGGCGGGGGCGGGGTGGGGGGGCAGGTGTTGGTAGCTCCCGGAGGGAGACGGAGCCGCCCAGGCTGCCGCCCGGCCCCAATACCGCTCGGTCCAGTCCGGAGGATAGCTGCGAACGCGCCGGCCCCACACTTGGAAGACCTGGGATGCAGTCACGTGACAACGGAAGCCCGCTGGAGGGGGCCAATGCGAGCGATCCCCCGGAGGAGCCTCCACGGGCCTCGGACCCCCTTCCCGGACCGCTCTTCACACCAGCCTGGAGACTCCAGGGATTCCCAGGGGCTGGCGAACCAAGCCCAGCCCTCTGGGATAGCTTGGGAAACCCCTGGCGGGGCGCCAGGACTACGAAGAGCTCAGGACGGCCGGGTGGAGGAGACGACCCCAAACTGGAACGTGACCCCTCCCTTTGTTCCAGCCCCAAACCCGGATTTATTCAGAGCCATGTTTTCTCTTTACCCATCCGTCTAGAGAAAGACGTCATTGAGTGCAGTTCCTGAAGGTTCCACCGTCTCCAAACCGAGGAGGGGACAAAGGACTTGTCTCCTGAGCACCTACCATATGGAAGGCTCTGTTGGGTCCTGCTAAGGACGTCATTAGAAAGTTGAAGACACAGTTCTGAGAGCCCTTTATCTCCCACCTTCCAACCTCCACAGTGTGCTGTGCCATTTCTCCTGCCACCAGCGCCCATCCTCCGAGTCTACCCATCTCTTAAGCTCCAACTGCTAAAGCCTGCTTGAAACAGCGCCAGCCAAATCTGATTCCTCTCCCCTCCCAATGCCCAGCACATTCAGTCTGTACCTTTCTCAGGGCACAGCGTGTTGCCTGTCTCATATTCTAGTGATCTGTTTACTAATCCTGTTCTTCTAACCAGATTAAAAAGTCCTTGAGGCAGAAACAAAGTCTGCCTCTTTGAGGCCTCCCCCCCATCACTTGAGCTCATCCCCCACAGGCCAGGCTTGGCACTGGAGTTGATGTTCAGTAAATGTTGGGTGTATTGAAATGATTTCCTGCCCTTGGGCAGATTGCAGACCAGTTGAAGAGACAAACACACAGCTCGTGAGGTGAGGTTAAATAATAACCCAAGGCAGCAGGTGGTGAGTACCAAACGTTAAGAGCTATAGAGACTCAGGAAGGAGGTGGTGATATGGGAGAGAGATCCCAGGAGGTTCTAGGCCTTGAGCTGTGTGTGTGGAGGAGGAGAGACGAGGCGTGGAGGTGACTCATTCTAGTTGACATCACCAAAAGCCAGCCTCCGTGCTAGCCACTTTCCATGCATTATCTCTAATATTTAGATGGGGGAGGAGGGTAGGTTTGGAAGGAGTGGAGGGGCTGGTGCCCAAGTCAGACCTGCCCAGAGCTAACCAGAGCATAGAGGCAGCCTTGGATCTGGGCTCCCCACCCTCGGTTCCCGGGCACTGCCTGTTCCCTGGCCTGCCACGCCTGCACAGTACACCCAAGAGAGCTGCCCAGTGCTGCCCAGCTCTGGATGCACTCTGGTCCCACCCTGGTGAACAACTGGCCGTGTGATCTTGGGCAAGGCACTTCCTTCCCTACACCTCACTGCCCATCTGGCCCTTCCTTGCAGGGCTTACAGACTGGGACTCTGTGAGTTAGTGTCCCAAGGGATGCTTGCCACCTCCCTCATGTTACCTGGGCTGCTGTGGCTGCCTACATTCCCCACCCCCCTGCCAGCCCTCTCTCCCTCCCCCACGCACAGCTCCCTCCCAGTCTGGAGCTGCTGAGAGGAACACTGGGTACAGAGTGTGAGCAGGGATAGTAGGTTTCCTGTGGTTGCAAAAGGAACATCGGGACTTTCCCTGTGGTGCCCGAGCTTGTGGGAGAAGTGGGGGAGGAGGAGGCAGGGCCAACCTCGAAGGAACGTCTGCTCCCTTCCCTCCCCTCCACAGTGCTCCCAGCTCTCCAAAAGCCTGGTACAGTTTGTTACGCTGGGGCCGGAATGTAGCGTGTGTTTCATATGGCCTCTGTCCAGTCCTACACTGGCCGCTTTATATTTATACTTCCTTCTTCAGCTTTGGCATCCCGCTGTCAGTCAGTCACTCCTGCCCTCATCTGCCCACCTCCCACCTGGGCCCTGCACCCCACCTTGAGTCAAGTGGGGTGTAGAGAACACCCTGGGGGAGAAAAGTTGGGACTCCAAAAGGGTAAAACCCCCAGTCCCCTTTCTCTCTCCCATCACCCAGCCCTGCAACAGCCTCCAAGGTCATGGACCCTCCAATTTGGGTCTGATGGTTCTCTGGGCCCTTGAGGTCGATCCTCTACTCCTTGCCACTCTTGTTGCCCCAAACACTTCAAAAATATTCCTGAGTTGGGCTGGACAAGTGAGCTGAAGGCTCTATTTATGTTGCCTCCCCAAAAGCTTGGCAGACCTGTTAATCCGTGATCCTCCCCCATCAGTCACAGAGAACACAGCAGAGGTGGGGCGGGTGGGGGATCGGAACCCCCCCCCCCCCCCAGGAATCACACATTCCTAATAGAAGCTGCAAAATGGAATTTGACACTTGGTGACTTAATGATTTTCTGAGTCATGACCAGTTTAACTTCCTCAGAGCAGCTTCAACAACGTTCAGAGATTGATCAGGGCTTCCTCCCCCAGGAGGTGGTGATATTATTATTCACAATAATAGCGAATATCGATTGCTACCAGGGACCAAGTGTTGGGCTTCAGGCTGTATGCACACAAGCTCATTTATTCTTCGCAACCACTCAGGGGGGTGGGTGCTATTGTTAGCCCCCTTTGACACTGAAGGAAACTGAGCCTCAGAGAAGTGACAGAGCTGGGACTCACATTTAACTCTACCATCAATGCCAGCATTTCTCAATGTTCTGCCAGACTGCTTAGATCCTGTACCTAAATTGTAAATCCTCCATTTCTCAGAGTCTTATTCCCTTCCTCCTCAAATGATTCCAGGAAGTTTGCCTCCTCGGAGTCCATGCATGCCTTGAGGTATATAATATGACAGCCAGAAAACTGTTTTCAGCCCATTTGACAGGCTGAAGTGTAGAGGCCCCGGAGGATACTCAGTGGTGGAGCTGGATGGTCAGGTTTGCTGGCTGAGGGCATCCTCAGTTGTCTCTCAGGCTGCCACTCACCCCCTCACCTGGGAATAAACTTTGCCTTGTTGTATTGATCTGGCATCGAATACAAAAACCAGAGGCTGAGTCTCTGAACTCGGGTCTATCTGTGGCACTCAGTGACATGGAACCATGTGAGCATAGGGTCCTCTCTTAGGACCCTTGCACAGCAGGACTTTGGGAGAAATCCCCACCATTATGTCAATCCCTGGGATTTGTGTCAGGCAGTGTACGTTTCACTGACATATCCTAACTCAGTGTGATCTTAACGTTCTTCTAAAGTAAGGAGAATAGTACTCGCTTTCCTGATGGGCAAACTGAGGCAAGAGCAGCTCAGCTGCTCACGCAAGAGCAAGAAGCTAGATTTGTGACTGTGATATCTTGGGTGCTGCGTTTCATAACACAGGGCCTCTTCTGAGCTAAGAGAGGAAGAGTTTCTCAAGATGTCCCCAAAATCTTGTGACATGTGTCCTTTCACCCAGCCCTACCACCCTAGGAAGGGACCACAGCACCACATGGCCTACACCACCCTTATCTACCCCTGGAGGCTGAAGCAGGGGCACCAGACATCCTGTAGCGAGTCGGCCTGTCCCGGTCTCTGGCTTCCTGTCTTCTGCGGCTCTCACGGGCACATTTTGTCCCCTCTGAGCCCAGTTCTTCCTCTTTCATCCTTCCTCTCTCATCCTTCTCACTGAGAGCCCTGTTTATATGCCTCCATCCGTGTTTGCGCTTCATTTTTGCTGTTTACGTGTTCGTTCTCCTGGGAAGTGTCCTAGGGTCCCCTCTGACACCGACTTGTTTCCAAGGAAGCATCTTCCATTCCTACCCTCACCTGCCCACCTCACCCCTTGCCTCCAGCTCATGCCAGTGTCAGATTGCCAAGGTTCATGCATTCAGTGGGTACTTAATGAGTACCTACTGTGTGTTCCAGGAATTGTATTAATTCCTGGGAACCCAAAGTCTAAAAGCTGTGCCGGAGCATCTATTAATCACCTACTGTGTGCACCAGGCACTGTGCTTCATCCTGGGGGGGCACCAAAGCTGGTCATTGCCCTCAAGAGATCTCCAGGCTTCTTGGGAAGTGGCACAAAAAAAGATCATTACGGTGCCCTGGGAAGTTGGGGACTGGGTTTGGCCAGAGGGGTCAGGGAGGACTCTTCTGAGGAGGCTAGTCTTCAAGCCTGAGAGGAGCTAGCCAGGCAGAGCCAGGGTGCAGGGTGTTCCAGGTAGAATGAACGGTGTCTATAAAGACACACTGGCGTGAAGCAGCCTGTGTTCTCCAGTGGGCACTTTTGAGTTGTTTGGTCTGGCTTGGTCATGGAGCACAGGCTGGGGAACCCAGGGAGATGAGGCCAGAGACAGGCAGGCCCAGATGGTGCAGAACCTCATGTTCCAGCAAAAGAGCTGACCTTTATCCTGGAGCAGCCGGAAGCCCAAGCAGCCTCATGGCTCCCTGCAGCCTGGGAGCTCCAGGGCTGGGCCTGGGCCAGGCCCAGAGCCCTCTCTCGAGCCCTCATTAACCCACATTTACTGCCCTTTGGCTTAGTGAGGCCTGTGAGAGAGTCAGACACTGGAAAATAATGCTGTTTTTAAAGCACGGTCATTCATTCATTCATAAATATTTAGGAAGCTCTGATGTTTGCCAGGTGCTGCTTTGAGCATTGGGAATGGGTCCTTAAACCCTACAGAGATCCCAGGTCTCAAGAAACTTATATCCTTGGCAGTTGGAGAGGGAGGATAGGCCATAAACAAATAAACAAATAAAATAAATAAATTAGCAAGATAATTTCAGATTGTAAAAACAGAGTGCTGCAGTTGGGGGTAATGGGGTAGTCTGGGTAGTCAGGGAAGGCTGCGCTAAAGAAAGTTACATTTGAGCTGAAACTGAGATGACAAGAACAAACCGGGATGTGAACATCTGGGGCTGAAGAGTCCAGGCACAGGAAACAGCACATGCAAAGACCCTGAGGCAGTAAGGAGCTTGGCGTTTTCCAGGTTTAGAAAAAATGCTGGGTTCAAATTCATTACTCTACAGCAATTCTATGCAAGGATTATTGTACCCATTTTGTAGAGATGGAGACTGAGGCTCAGAATGGTTAAGTTTCTTGGCCAAAATCATAACTGGTAGTAAAAATTTTGGCTCTAAAGCCACTGTTGTTGTTGTTGTTGTTGTTTTCTACCGAAGTATCAAGTACAGCAACCATGTGTCCTAAATTATTTGGGAAGGTCCAATTTCCAAAAATTTGTTTAATTGTTCTCTGGACATTCATCGTGGACATTCTCTGTTCCAAATCATGACTTTGAGCCCTGTCTCTGCCATGTACTACCAGTGGGATCCTAGGACAAGCACTTCATCACCATAAGCCTCAGTGTCATCACCTGTAAATAGGCAGAGTAATAATTCCAAGAACATAGGCTTGCTGAGAGGATTAAATAAGATAATCCATGTAAGACAGTACAATGCAAGGAACACGACACACATTCATTTCATTCAATTCATGATAGTTTTTTATTGTTACCTTGGGAAACTGAGGTCACCTGCCGAATGGTCCTGTCGCCATGGGAAGCCTCTGATGCATGAGACAGCCAGGGGAGCTGTGGGAAGAGAGAGAGAGCAGGAGAGGGTGGCCAGGGGTGCCTCTTGCCTGTGCTCAGTCGCTTACTCCTTGAGCTGGGATCCCACACTGACACATCTTGTACTTCCCGTTTCCAGGGAAATTCCTCGCCACTGGACCACACCCGCCCTTGAGGACCTCCCCATCTCTTTGGGCAGAGCAGAAGCCAGACAGAGCCCGGGACTGGGAAGTGACAGTCTTCAGCCCTGTGTGTGCCAGGAGCCCCCAAGGGGCAGGCGCCTCACAGC